TTGAGACTACAACGAAGCTCTCTGGATTGGTTGTCCTCTAGCATGGGACTACAACGAAGCTCTCTGATTGGTTGTCCTCTAGCATGAGCCTTTATCTTTTTATCAGTCGCCTCCTCGGGTAGACAGCAAGGACACATTACAACACTCACCTTTACTTCGAAGGAAAACTCCATTTATGACTATGTGTATTCCTTCGAACACCAATATCCTTTTTGCACAATTTTCAAGAAAAGTCTGCAAAGGAGATGAGTGAGCGGCTGGACTTGGTCACGTGACAAACAGGACTCTCGTCCTCCCCAACCCCTGCGTAAATGAGGGAGTGAATGAGTGGATGAGAGACATATAGAGAGAAAATGAGGAAGAGACAGACATAAACAGAGAGACAGGAGTAAGGTCGAGTAAGAGAGAGAGAAAAACTGAGTAAATAAAGGAAAGAGAAACAGTTGCTGAATGAGTGAAAGGCACAGAGAGTAATCATCTGAGTGAATGCGAGATAGTAGCTTAGGGAGTAAGGGACGGTGAGAAAGAGCAACTGAGACATGAAGTAAATTGATTTAGAGAGTGTAACTGAGAGAGAAAGAAAAGTTATTTGAGTGAGTGAGCCAGAGAGAGCAAGTGAATGAATGAGAGAGAGAAATAGAGAATAAGTTTATGAGTCACATGCCGTAGACAGTGATTAACTGCGTGCGAAAGAAATAGTAACTGAGTGAGAAACAGGCAAAGATGAGTGAGGGAGAGACCGAGAGAGGTAGAGTAACTGATTGCGTGAGAGACTGAGGGAGAGACGGAGAGAGATAGAGTGAGTGAGAGTAACTGAGTGAGTGTAAGTAATAGATCTAGAGAGAGAGAGACATCATACGTGAGAGAGGCAGAGAGAGAGAAAATAAATGAGAGTGAGAGTACCTGAGCGCATCTCGGAGTAAACTCAGTCATCGCCGTGTCTCCAGTGAACGCAGGCACAGTTCGAGCGGGATTGCCAGGCGGGATAGCTTCCAAGGGCAAACGGGTGCGCCCCTTGCTAAGGGGGCACTCAGGTGCTCCGCCGGTCTCCTGTGTCCCTAGGAAATAGCTGGCTCGCTTTTATTCAAGAAATAAAAGACACATGGCTGTCCAAAACGGAAAAGAGTCAACTAAAGATGATAATGATGATAGAGAGACCTCCAGCTTTCGTTAATGACGTAGGAGGAAACACGGCCAGGACGGGCAAGCAGGAGGCTTTGCTCATAACGGGGCAGGCAAATGCGTGCATAGCGTTGCATAGCTTGTAAAGGGTTTGTGTGTGTCGTAAGGGCGTGAGCGAGGCTAGCTACCCCGTTTGCGTTATCTGCGGAGCGAAGGTCGGCGATAAGAGGAGGCAGCAGGGCGGCGCCGGCCGCAGCGAGCTCACTCGCAACCCGCAGCGCGCCAACTGCCGAAGGGACACCGCCAACGCTCCAACAGCAACACCGCAACCGACGCCCCGACCGCTACGATGGCTTCCCTTTACAGCAACGACCGCCTCGTAAGTAGCCCTTGGCGCAGCGTGCTCAGGACTGTAACCACTCTCTGGTGGCTGCGAGTTGAACAGCGACGCGGGGAAGGCATTTCTTCCGATGACCTTCGGGATCGTCTCGTCCAGAAGAGCCAGTGTCTGTGCCACTGTGGCCTCACCGGGTACTTTGGGAACTCTTACAGTTGACTAGTTATTGGGTGTTTCCAAAGAAGGAGAAGGGACAGACAGAGAGAGAGTGTGTGTGTGCGTAT